AACACAAAAGGCATTTTCTTTTTTAAGGAAGTGGAAAAGAACCTGTTGATTTTATCTCATGCTATCATTTCACGGTCTCATTCAGCAGACATGTTTTCCAACCTCTAGAGAGGCCAGGGGTTTCACCATCACTTCCATCACATCAGCTGTCTCACAGAGAAAACCTAAATAAGGTTATTTTGCACTGCAAACACACCATGCATATCGGTAGGGCTGCACCCTTTGGAAACAATGACTTATTGCGATTGCTTTGACAGATATTGCAAATGCAATAATGTTCACGATATTAGAGGGAATGATCATTTATGCATCATAGTTATAGACTTATTATCATTGGAAAATATATTAAACTGATTAGAGTGCAATTTCTTTAAGAGATATGCTCGAAACAATTGTCTTGTTAGGTCTTAAGAAAATCATTTGTCTGGCGGGATATCTCTGCAGCTACATACTAAATGCTATTTTAAAACATTTAGCATTACAAAAATATTGTCCATCCTGGAATTTGAATATTGCACTAGTCCATAAAGTATGACGTTTTTTTTTCTTTTTACATTGTGTGCCTCAAACACTATTAATCCTGGACATAATTATAAAACAGTGATTCTGCACATCAAGGCGTAGCTGAGTCAACAAGGTAAATAACTCTTGGAGCTCATGTGCTCACTTTCAAAGGACAGGAACACAGGCAGGGGATGCATTTGAAGCTTGGAAGTCCACACATCAGCGCTATAGAGCAGAGCTGTTTTGATGTGACTCAATAGTGAGGTCTGGCCGGCTAAACGCTGTTCCTTCTCAGCATTGTTCCCCTGAGGCCTTGAAGCACTTTGGAGATAAACACCGTTTAGCAGTTAAAAGGGCCACAGAGGAAAAGGCTTATCAGATGTCTCCTCAATGGGCCGTAAGCTGCATTATTAGGCCTGCGCCTCAGATAAGGTGGAGGCTGGAGTTTGATGCTCCGCAGCAGAACTGTGTGATCAGGCTCCTGATGGAACTCAGCCCCCCCCCCCCCCTGCCTTTTCAGAATCAGAATTCCTGTATTTTTCCCGCAACGGAGAGATTTACGGTATTACAACAGCAAGGGTATAGAGCAGATTAAGAGTAGACTTAGATACTATATAAAAAAGTATGCAGGCGTTATTAATAAAAAACACAATAACTAAAACAAATAAGAGATAAGTACACCATAGTTAACAAACAAGTTGCAGTATATTACAAAAAAAATGACCATATAAAAATATTGAAGTATATAAGTATCTGGTAATGTTTACAGATTGTAAATAAATTGAAGGAAAATGAAAGAGTAAATTGTCCGAGGGTATATCGCACATGCGTATATTGCGCAACGTTTTATATTCACAGGCAGTGTTATTTCCCATCAGGGATATTACAGTCTGTGTGTGTGTGGTGGTCTACCAGGGGTCTCTCCAATCCTGAGAGATTAGAGCTCAGAGAAGGCAGAGAGAAGAAGGGAAGGAGGGGGGAGTTTGGCTTTAGATATTCCCCCTGTCCCTTTTCCTGCTCTGCTTTCTGGGGGTAGGAGTCAGACTTAGGACAATGGCCAAAAAGATGGTTCCCAACCAGCCTGAATGGAACACTGTTGGTGGTAGCGCTGCATTCAAAGCCGGCCCGGGCACATTGTCCTCCCAGATTGGCGGAGGAGAATGGAGTTTGCTGGTGGCTGCCAAAAGGTTAGCAGCCTCTGTGAAAGGACCGGCCCATTATTCACTGCCCTTTACAGAGCCGAGCCTCCTTTGTGCTCCCCCCCCCCTTCCCTCTGCACCGCCAGCTCTTTCTCACTCCGCCGCTCCGGATCTGCGCCCGACAGTGTCCCCCAAAGTGTCCCCCAAAGTGAGGGAGTGAGGCGCGATGCCACCACTACCCCCCTAACCCCCCCCCCTGTACCCCTAGCAGCACTGGAGGAATGTAACTAAGTACATATACTCAAGTACTGTACTTAAGTAAAAAATGGAAGTACTTGTACTTTAGTTTTTGCTACTTTATGCTTTACTCCACTACATCTTGTTGGCAAATATTGCACTTATTACATTATTACATGTTCATATTTTTGATACATGAACTGAATTGAACTAATGCATTGTGATGTATTATTATTGCTGGAAATACCTGGCTGTCTAAAAAAAGTTCTCTCCACCTTAAAATGTTAATGGATCTCATGATAATCCAGTGATAACATATATATTATTCTGAAAATGGCATTTGCTTTAGAGCTTTAGTTAGAAGTTACACTGCAGATATTAGAATATTAATACAAATATAAATCGAATAATTCCTTATTATATATTATTATAGGTTTAGCCACTCAGTATTATATAAAGAAATTCAAATAAAACCATATTTTACCAAGTGCAACATTGAAGGGTAAACTAATTAATGCATACATAAATTATAATACAATATATTCTAAATATATGGCGCTTAAATGGGTCATTCTGCATAACGAGTACCTTTGGTAACTGTTACTTAAGTCACATTCTGAATGGACTTTTACTTGTAACTGAGTATTTTTACACTGTAGCATTGCTACTTTAACTTAAGTAAATCATTTCTTCCTCCTATATTAGGGGAGCCGGAACATATAACCCTCTCCCCACCACCCCCCCATCCCCATCCATGTCAAAAAAGAACCTTTAAATGATATGGCCTAGAAGTAACAACAAGGTTACCATTCACAACACAAAGGGGATTTAGAAAGAGGGAGCGTGGAAACTGCCACTCAGCCAACACCATTTCTATTCAATCCCCTCAGCCCCCCAGCTAAACCTCAGACACGCCGCTATTTAGGTGTATTTACAAGGAAGGGGAAATAAATCAGCTGAAAAAGCATGATGAAAGCAGAGGAAATACAATGAAAACACTTAAACGTAAGCGACAACAGCGCTGCTTTAGAAACTTCATCATGCCAGTAAATCCAGGTAAGTTACGGCATAATAAAAAGGCAAAACTCCAGCTTCTCTGTCCATTAAAAGCGGACCATTCTTACATCAAATCAAGAATGAAGCACAGGTCAAATATGACCTCTTATAGAGAATACTTTGAGAGGAGCCTCATAATTCACGAGCATCGGAGAGCCCTCTGATAATGTATGCCACCCATATACGCATGTAGTTAGTCAAAGTGGAGGCGGGGCGGGGGTGGGGGGGGGGGGCGCGTTGTGCATTCTGATGCCATTTGAATGGGAGGTCACCTGCTGCAAGGCTTTTATTGTGTGTTAGCGTGGCCAGGTATGGAGCAGGGTCGCACCGTGCACTCTCTCATGCTGCTGCGCTGCAAATGGATATCCCATAAATCACATTAGCCGGCCTATGAATGGACGGCCTCGCCTGTTTGTACAGAGGCTGGCTTTACCCAGAGTGAACACATCGTTACCATTCCAATAGGATTCTGAAAGCCTCCCCAGCAGAATTCAAAATGCTAAATGTTATTCTCAGGGTTGATCCTCTTGGGAGCAAGAATGTGCTTAAGGTATTAAATAGTTAATTAGATAGTTAGAGAATAATACGTCTAATATAAGATTGGGAATGTTGGCCTTATGGCAGTTCAGCAGGAGTCGGAGATGACCAACAACTTTAGGGTTCATCCTCTATGGACTTTCTATTTCAAATTTGACTGAGATAAGACCAATCGGTTTTGAGTTTTAGTGTCCAAAGTAGAAATGGTGACACCTCTGGGGATCATGAAAATGTTCTGTAAATGTCATTGCAATGGAATTAGGATTTGTCCATTGGGGAAAATATTTGTTCTTTTTGATCAAACCCATTTCGAGGTGTATCAATTTATCTTACAAGGGCACATTTTGAGCAGAGGGTGGTCCCAGGCAAAAAAAGGCGAGGGTCACGAAAACAAACCATTTCAATATCTTGGCAATCTGGTCAGTATTTTTTAAGTAATTTGACCAAAGTTTGTGATTCAGTAGCATTTCCCAAATGGGCAATTGACAAATACTTGGCTTCTTGCATGTGGGTGGGACAAAAACGTCAAATATGGGATTACACCTCAAGAAATAAATATGCTTATGTAAGGAGGAGATGGACGGAAGAAGAAAAGATAAAAGAGGAGTCCACAGACCGTGTAGTGAGTAAGACCCCCTGCTTTTGACAGATGTAATCCCTCTGCTTCTTCTCCAGTCTCACTCTAAACCTCCATTACTGTATTATTCAAGTTTTACAGTTTACTACATTTACAATACTTAAACATTTAAAACATCGATTACATAATGGCTGACACCGATGTCTTTAATGCATTATCAACACACTTAACATGCTTTATAATCTGCATATTAAACCCATTATAAGCATTTTATAAACACTTATTCAGTCAAGCCTCATCATACTTCATATTTTCTGGTCATTTACTGACATTGTTTTGCAAGGATTATAGTGTATTAGAATTCTCATATCTGTAATTCATTAAATATATTTGATATAGTATTCTTATCCCTGTTATAATGCATATAATGTCATCATTGTCATTGGTCACTAGGTTATTTAACAGAAGTAACACAATTCAAAGGGTATTGGAAGATATACATGTGAATCTGTTTATAAGTCTATAAGTTATTTCTTCCTTTAATGAAGGTTAAAAATGATAACCAATTATAACCATTGTTTTTGGGCTGGTAAGTGATGAAGACCTAGCAAATATGGTGAATATGTTGTAACCTGGATATACTTATTGTGCAGCATTATGTGGTAGTTGCTGTAATTATACAGTAACAGTCTATAAGCAGATCAAAACATATTGTTATTTTCTTAATTATACATCCTAGACATGGGGGTCATAGAAAATGCAAAGAAAATATCAGTTTCTATTACTTATAAATCATAAATATTGTGGAGATTCACTTCAAAAAGATGCAGGATAAATACAGAGATGTTTCATACGCAGGGATTCTCCCCACAGCCTCTCTTTCTCACATTTCAATGAAAACTGTGTTCAGGAATACAGTCTGGATGAAAGCGCATCCGTTGGGTTCCTACCTGTCTAAGACGTAGCCCAGCGCCTTCTGCCTGGTCCCGGAGTACACAGAGGGGCTCTTCTCCCACGCAATCAGGTTGGAGGCATCATGGAAAAGGTGGATGTTGACCAGATCAAAGGCACTGCGATGAAAGAACACTCAGTGACTTCATTATCCAGATGTATTCATCCATAAATGCACGCATAACACGAGACATTTCATTCAACCATTGCAGCAATTTCATTTCTTAATGAATCCATGAACTGCATTAAAACGTAATCATTGATAAAAGCTCGATTTCAGATGAGGGTTTGGATGAAACTCAAATGACAATGGACTTAAGTGAATGTGATGTGAAAGGCTGCTTTCTTGCTTGAGAAAGATTTCTGAAGTAGTCATTCTGTAAATGCTTTTAACATCCTGAATGATTTAGTTCCAAGAAACAAATAGAGTAAGCAAGTCTCTGAAATACAGAGGATTTCAAGTGGAGCTCTTTGCATGATTTTTCCTAGAGAAAAGAAAAACATCTTTTGATCAAATCAACAAAATCCTTTGAGTAGTCGATAAATAATAGAATAATAAAGCAACAAGGACACATTTTTACCAACTTGGTTTGAATGACCTGATTTCTCCTGAAGACACCCCCCTTGTAAGGCGGATCAAATCAATGCTATCTGACCCAGAAGGACTGGCTCTCCTCATGACGGCAGATATCTCTCCATACAAACACTAATCTGCTCTCCTTCAGTTTGTTCTGTCAGGCAGGAGCGAGACAGCTCAATGTACAGTGATGAACACCTCCCTGCAGATCCTATCAATCTGCTTTGTTTGCATGGTGTTCGGCAGCCCCCCCCCCCCCACCCAGAGGAATAGTCTTATCTCATGGGGCTTATTCTGCAGTGACAACCTGAACAAATGAATACATGCATGCTATCTCTGTCTCTCCCATCTCCCATCTCCCTATCCTTCTCCCTCTCTTGTCAAACGTCATGCCCCTATTAAATGCTTACCGTTTCAGCTCTTTAGTTCTCATGTCATCCTTCTATTAGATTACGACCCCCCCCCATCCTAGTCCCCCAATCCCCTGTTGTGCACGCTGGAAGCAAGCGTTTGTATTCATGCCGTACAGGTTCAATTGCATGTAATCTTTTTGGTCATCTGTCATATGCAACTGCTTGACTAACGCGATTAGGTTTAATCAGATCCCTGCTGCGTACTGTCCAGAGAGGGTTCAGCTGTGTGCTTTCTATGACCAGGACCACACGTCGCAGGGACACGCTGAGATAGAATCTCTGATCACAGCTGGAATGATGGGGGGGGGGGGAAGTGTCTCTGCAGGAACTCACCAGTCTGCCAGGGCCCATCGAGTCCTGATGAATCCCTTTCTGGACCACTTGCACTGCGGAACAGAGACACTCAATATTAGTCAGGAATAAGTCATCAAAATGCAAAAACGTTTACACAGTCATGGAACGATGTCTATCATCTGGTAGCACGATTTCACATTTTTTTCAACACAATCATAAACTATTATGTTGAATTTCTGGTAACTTATGAGTCCTATCTCCATAATGCTTTTGAAACATACTTGTGTTATAATCTGCTTGAAGCACAAGGCCAATACAAGCTACATTGATTACAATGACACATTCAGATAACAATGTCTATCGTTGGGAGCACGATTTTCACCACAATCATAACTATCACGTTGAATTTCTAGTAACTTTCTATGAGGCATATGTCTACAATGCATTTGAAACCCATGCATTATATTCTACTTAAAGCACAAGGCAAATGATAGATGTCTATCATCTGGGAGCACGATTTCACATTTCTTCAACACGATCTATCACCGTTGAATTTCCGGTAACTCATGAGGCATATGTCTGTTGTGCACGTTAAACTGCTTACATCATATAATCTGCCTACATCACTAAGTAAATGAAAGTTAGATTGATTTAACTTTCACGGTTGTGTAACGATGTCTATCATCGAGGAGCACGATTTAAAAAGAATTCTACACGATCATAAACTATTACATTGAATTTTGGTTAACTTTATCGTAATAGTATATCATTATTAAATAGATATTTGTATACAAGGATAATGAATATTATTGATTTGACCACTGAACACTACTTCAAGAGTTGTTTAAATATATCTTTCTTTTATCTTATTGAATTTACCACATTCCTACATCGTGTACAGAAACATGGCATACTGTATGTCTATTATGCACATTACTTGTGTTAGTAATCTACTTAACCCTTGTGCCCTCCTCGAATTTCCAACCTTTCACCATTGCTATTAAATCCTCATACATCAATATCTACTTTTTGTTTTTCATGAATCACTAAAACAACTTCAAAACTACCAAACATTCAATCATTTTCAGGATTGTAACCCTTTAAATGCCTGATTCATTATTTGAATTATTTCATTATTAATGACAAAAAAACACAAAAAATTAAATTGCTTCAATATAATAATTAGTAGGGGGATGGGACTTTAGTGGTTATTAGAGTCTTGGATGTGTCCAAGATTAGCAACAAAATTGATTTGACTGCATTATTATTGTTTACGCAGTATCAGATACTACCTCTGGACAACTTTGTGGCAAAAATGTACACGCCCCAAAAAAACTGCTGCTTTTTTCATGTGTGTGTGTGTGAGTGTGAGTGTGAGTGTGAGTGTGAGTGTGTGTGTGTGTGTGAGTGTGAGTGTGAGTGTGAGTGTGAGTGTGAGTGTGAGTGTGTGTGTGTGAGTGAGAGTATCTGTAAGCATGCACGGATCATTTCATGGGTAAAAAAGGCCATCTTTTGACGGATGTGTTTCATGTGTCTTTGAAGAGGTGCTTGATTACTCAAAAACAAAAAACAACTGTGTGTATGCACCTGGCTTGAACACACTAACAGAAGGGGTCCAGAGGGTGCAAAATGCATCACGAGAGTATACAAAACATGTAAGAGTAAACGACAATGGATTTAAAAAATGTGACTCAAAAGAAGACTTCTTACAAAATGCCATGCCAAAGCTGGAACACAGCTGAAATGATCTCTCCAGATCAACAAACAAAGTCAGGAAGAATGTACAAAAATGCCCGAGGAGGGCACAAGGGTTGCACAAGGCAAATGAAAACTAGAATGGTCAAAGTTTCACAGTCATGTTACAATGTCTGTGTCAACACATTTCACAAAACTGTATTGGGTTAGTCAATAGTAATAATATTAAGGTGAACCTATTGTATGTGAAATTTGTTGACATAATACATTTCATTAAAGTCAAAGTTTCAGTTTTTTCAGTGTGGGACCACAATTTCACAATGTTTTGACTGCATCATAAACTATAACATAGTTTATTATATGCATTATAATCTGCTTACAACCTCAACATCATTATATTATTCACTCATAAATACTCATAATGCTTTATAATAATAATCATTATTAAGATGTTTTTATTAGGATTTATAAGGTTACGTTTCTTAATACCGGGTGAAAACCTGAATTCATACATTTTTTTAAATATATTTATCATATCAATGTTAAGTGGACATTAAACAGAGAAATATGTATGAAAAACGAAACAATCCGTAATAAAGAATTGCATGTTTAAGTTCATTTGTTTTTGTTGAAGAATTCACCTGGTCACATGACATCCATAACCTTGATGTGATATTAAGTGGGGAGGGACAAAATGTCTTCCTCAAAAGAGGGGTAGGACAGAATCACTTACTTAGATTAACTTATAATCATATTCAAGTGCATTACAATCACTGCTATAATGAGATATAGATCAGATCTGAAAGATAATCCTGTATTGCAACTATGGGAACAACAATACATGTCATTATTATGATCCTTGCAAAAATAGAAATATCTATTTTAAAATGTTTAGGAGACTTGAGCTCATAAGTCACTTAAAAAAACTATAATGTGATATAATTATTCTTTTTGTATAATGCATTACAAGCATGGGGGTCATACACATGATACAGAATATGCATCCAAAAGAGAATGTCAAGTTGATGTACAGTATTGAAAACACTTTTGAGGCACTTCTTCTTCTTTAATGACATCCATCTAATGTTATTGTATGCGTGTTACTGTGGAGACAATATTAAATGATTATAAAAAATACTTAAATTAAGTAAAAGTACATCAAACTTGTACTTAAGTACAGTAGTTAATAACAAATGTTCTTATTTACTTTCCACCAATGATGTTTATATGTCCATCTGTAATGGATATCATTTCCTTAATGCAGACAAATCTGTGTGGAGATAATAATGCAGATGCCTGTTTCATGGCTTTAACGCATCACTTATGGAGGAGAGTTATACAAACGATACTGAGTATTGAACCGAGCACATTCAGTTTGCAGCTGTTTGATCACATCCCACAGCCCTGAGTTAATTATTCAATCACAAGTCCAAAGACCTTTCTCAAACAGCACATGATTCCCCATGAAGCTGCTTATTAAATGAGAGACAAATGTATGTTGTGAGTGTTCTCGTTCTGAGAAGAAACATAAGTGTCTTCCCTCAGCCTCTCTCCTTTACCGGCTATGGCTCTCTGAGACTCCTAATGGGGAGTTAACTGCAGTGATGAATAAACTAATTATGGGCAAGGTCACATAATTACAAATTGACTAATTTTATTTTTTTCTTCAACTCAGATGCAAATTAAAAGGCTAAGAGGTATTTGATTGCACCTCACATCTTTCAATCTGCATTAGTACAAGATTAACTGTATCAAATTGAATTACATTAGCATACTTGAATTAATCCATACTGCCTGTGCAGGATGTATGGGTCCAATTATAACTGGCTGTCCCAATATCGTGACTTTGAAAGGAGCAAATGGAATTAGATGTGAGTGTCACACTGCAGCAGAACAAATTCACCTTACACTTTAGGAAAAAGAACGTTTTAACCTAACTAGATCGGAATATTTTAAAATGAGAAACAAATGCAGTGAAGGTTTCTACGGCTGGAGCCAAGTTAGATTTATTTTTATTTTATTATGTAAAGGATTAACTACATTAATTGTTGAGTGATTGAGGTATCACCTAAATGTTCATAGCAACACAAAACACAACCTTTTTGGTGCTTTAAAATTGTAAAAAGAAACGTATAATAATAATAACACTATCCTTTTCTGAGTGATGTTAATGCACAATCTATTTGGAGATTTAATGTCAGAAATATAAAAATATAAACTCCTACCTGGCATTTTTTTAAAGGGGCCCAATTATGCTAATTGTCAGGTTCATATTTGTATCTTATGGCTTTAATGTTCAAAAAGCTCTTTATTGTTCTCATACTGCCTGTGCTGCAGCACCTCTTTTCACCCTCTGTCTGAAACCAGAGCCCAGTCTGCTCTGTTGTGATTGGTCAACAGCTTAGCGATAGCCCGCCCCTTAGCCTATCATGTCACTTTGTTGCGGAAGTAAACACACTACAGGGAAGGGAAAACACCCCAAAAAGCACAATAGCCTTCAACCTTTAAAAATTAGAATAATCAATTGAAAACATTTTTTAAATGATTAAACGCCTTATTTTTATTAAACCTATCTCGACTTTTTAGGGATCCACAGGAACCTGAATAAGAATTGAGTAATTGCATTATGTGCATTTGGACAAAATGAATACTTGATCACACGACACATAGACATCCATTAGCGTTCTGTATATGCGTTTGTGGATGTAAAGTTTAGGAAAGAAAGTCTTAGAGTGGGGCGGATGTGGAAGGACATGATGGAGAGTTAGTCTTTTGGGGATGGGTGGGGGGGTTACTTGCTCAGTGCCTGTACAAGCTCTGACTGCAGCCAGAGACGTTTAATCTCGATTTAATTTAAAGAGCCATTAACTACAATCGCAGCATTAAAATCCATCACTTCCTTGACACCCGGCCCCAGATTGCCCCATTTCCTCCACGTATGAATGATTGACCCCCTGCTTCATCGCTTCCTTATAAACACGCTCACAACACACCGAGCACGGACCAGTCCCAGTCGAGTGGAACAACATCTACATACCAGGAAGTAAGACGCAAAAAAACACACTCCGCTCTGCCGTCCATTTCACCCAATTTAAGTGCTTTTATTTTGTAATGCAAGTCCGGTCTGAGATGATTATCTGGCGCAATCAATCAAAGAGTAGAAGAAGAGAAGTGTCTCTGCCAATCTATTGGTTGACATGATGACATCATGATTTGGTTGCTGCAGCTGAGATGATGACACAGATGCTGTCCGGACCCATTTAATCTCCTGCTGGAACATCACCACCACCCCCGCCCGCCCGGCGACCACACACACACACACACACACACACACACACACACACACACACACACACACACACACACACACACACACACACACACACACACACACACA